GGCAGGAAATTTGGAAGACAGCTTCTTGGACAATTGACTCAGAGATCCAAATTTGCCATTCCAAAGAAAGGTGACCCAACAAAATCCTCATCCTATAGATCAACATCACTGATATGCACACAAGTAAAATTTTGCTTAAGATCAGCCAACAAACGTTGTTAGCAGTACATAACAGTTGTTGGAGTGCAGCCAAAAGTTCAGGTCAGATTCAGAAGGGGGCGCTGTACAAGGGATAGCATTGCTAACATCAGATGGATCTTGGCTCAAAGCAGAGAATAGCAGAAAGATGTTTGCATGCATTTTATTGACTGCAGTGACAGTCAACTGTATGGACCTTAATAAACTATGGATACCTTTGAGAGGAATGGGAAACCCAGAACACTTTATTGTGCTCATGAAGTGTTTGTACATAATCAAGAACAGTGGTTCTCAACCTGTGGGTCGCGACCCTGTTAGGGGTCAAACGACCCTTTCACTGGGGTCACCCGATTCATAACAGTAACAAAATTACAGTTATGAAGTAGCAACAAAAATAATTTTATGGTTGGGGGAGTCACCACAACATGAGAAACTGTATGAAAGGGTGGCAGCATGAGGAAGGTTGAGAACCACTGAGTTGTGCAAACAGAGCAAGGAAACACTGGGTTAAAATCAGAAAAGGTGTGCAACAGGGTTATATCCTCTCACCATCCTTATTTAATCTGCATACTGAACAAATCATCGGAGAAGCTGGATTTTATGAAGAAGAAAGTAGCATCAGGATTGGAGAAAGACTTGTTAACAACCTATACAGCGAACACAATCTTGTGTTCTAACTGTGAGCGAGACTTGATGAAGATCCAAGGCTGCAGCCTTCAGTAACATAATGCAAAGAAGACCAAGATCCTCACATCTGAATCCCAATAGATAACATCATGATCAATGGAGAAAAGTTTGAAGTTGTCAAAGACATTGTCTTGCTTGGATCCACAATCAATGCTCATGGAAGTGGCAGTCAAGAGATCAAAAGACATGTTGCAGTAGGCAAAACTGCTGAAGAAGACCTCTATAGAATATTGAAGAGCAGGGATGTTACTTTGAGGACTAAAGTGCACCAGCCCAAGTCATGGTATTGTCCATTGCCTCATATGCATGTGCAAGTTTGCCACTGAATAAGGAAAACAGAAGAAGAATTGATGCATTTGAATTGTGATGCTAGAGACGAATATTGAAAGTACCACGCACTGCTAAAAGGACAAAACCTATCAGTGTTGGAAGAAGTAAGGCTAGAGTGCTTCTTAGAGGAAAAGGCAGTGAGACTTCATTTTACATATTTTGACATACTGTCAGGAGAGACCAGTCGCTGGACAAGGACACCATACTTCATAAGATATAGGGGCAGGAAAAAAAGAGGAAGATCTTCAACGAGGTGGATTGACAGAGTGGCTCCATCAATGGCCTCAGGCATAGAAACAATTTTGAGGATGATGTAGAACCGGACAGTGTTTAATTCTGCTGTGCCAGGGTTGCTATGGATGGGAACTGACATAATGGCATGTAACAACAACAATAAGATCAATGATTGTGGATCCAAGCAAGACTAACTCCTTGACAACTTCAAAATTTTCTCCATTTATTATAATATTACCTGTTGGTCCCGATGTGAGGATTTTAATCTTCTAGGATTGTAGTCCATACTGAAGGCTGTAATCCTCGATCTGCATCAGCAAGTGCACCAAGCTCTCCTCACTTACAACAAGTAAGGTTGGGTCATCTGCCTACCGCCAGTTGTAAATAAGCCTTCCTGCAATCTCGATGCCACATTTTCCTTCATCCAATCCAACTTCTCTGATGATTTGCTCAGCACACAGAATGAATAAGTACAGTGAGAGGATACAACCCTGTTACATATCTTTCCTGATTTAAACCATGCAGTATCCCCTTGTCCTAGTCACACAACTGCTTCTTGATCCATGTACAAGTCACTTAGGAACAAGATGAAGTGTTCTAGAATTGCCATTCTTTTCAATATTATCCACAGTTCGTTATAACCTTCACATGGATGACTTGGTATAGTCAATGAAATACAAGTAACATCCCTTTGGTATCTCTCCTCTCAGACAAGATCCATCTGACATCAAAAATGATACCCCTTGTTCCACATCCTCCTGTGAATCCAGCCTGAACCTCTGACAATGGACTGCCGCAAGCAATGTCGGATGATCTTATTACTTGCACGTGGTGTCAGGGATATTGCTCTGGAGTTGGAGCATTCCGTTGGGTCACCTTTCTTTGGAATGGGTACAGATATGGCTGTCTTCCAGTCAGCTGCTCAAGGGGCTGTCTTCCAAATTTTCTGGCATAGACACGTGAGTGCTTCCAGTGCTTCATCAGCTTGTTGAAACTTTTCAATTGGTACGTATCCCAACAATCTATTGTACATAGGGTCCTGTTTTGTTTTGCTTTTCCTTTATAGCTTTTCTTCTGCAGGCACCACAGCTCAAAGGG